TCTGTAAAGAAAATTATGTTTTTTAAACAAGGTGTTACTAGGTAAACAAAGCAGTTTTCCCTCTAAACTTTGAGGAGGTGACTTATCTCATCAAAATTAGTTTATGCAACTCAGTTAATGCTCATTTTGTTGGTCGGAGTTGCGTTAATTGGATAAAATTTGCATAGCCCCCCCCCCCCCCCTTCTAAAATCAGGTAAAACTGAAACTCAGGGGAGGAGAATTAGTCAGAGTCAAGTCGTTGTCTTCTTCGTGCCGTTTCGAGCTGTAGTGAGCCAGGCTCGTCTTCTCCATCTGGGATGGAGCCAGCTAGCTGAACTGTGGCAAAAGTCCACAGAACTCTCTCAAACACACCAGAATGATGCTGCTGTCTTGCCAATGAAATGTTGTTCTGGAGAGAATCGTCACTTCCATCATGGTAATGAGGACATCTTCGGGTAGGAAAATCCCATCTTCATTCTGACGAGAGACGATACTCAGTGCCAATTGGTTCTATTTTGACACTTATGGCTTACTCCACAAACCTCAGAAACTTACATTAATTTTTAAACATTAGTCCTAAATTTAGATAACATCTGTCCTCAAAGTTTAAACTATTTTACATCATTCACTCTTCTGAAATAATACTATTGGTTATGCATTCATATTTCATATTTTCCATAATTTCATAATGTTGTTATTATTTAAACTTACTATAAACGTTACAGAATTTTGTGGCATTAATCTACTGGGTTTTGTTTGTTTAATTCAAGTGAGGGGGATTACAACATTGCCAATAATCCACCATTAATTTAATTGAGGTCATCCACATTTATTATTTTTCATTGCATACCTGTTAAAAGGTGTACAGACCACTTTACTTTAACATATCACTACAATACCATTAGCATACGGGGCTATAGACAGCAATTATGAACACCCCCACAATCTCATGAGGTAAATAATGTGGTCGACACTTCAGTTAGTTGCTCTCAGAGCCGTATATAGAGAGAGTTTTGACACTCCCATAGATGTCTATAGAAAGAATGAAATGCGGAAGTCGCGTGGGTAAAGCAGCCGCTAATTGGTCCAAACAGCAGCGGTTCCAGCATTGAACATAGTTCATTCTCTGAGTTTTGGAAGTGTTTTGTATGGTAAATTGATGAAAGCACAACTTTATTTTTGCCATTGTGAAGCGTTAGCAGACTGTTCTATACCACAGTTTATCAACATTAATACTTCATGTTGCCAGTTTTAGTTAATTAAACATGT